ACACACACACACACACACACACACACACACACACACACACACACTGTACTGCATTCAGCCCTGTGTCTCTCTCCTGTCTGTCAGCAGCCCACGCAGACGGCGTGCACATGCGTGCACACAATAACTAATAACTCACACATACAGAGCTGCAGAAGGACAAACCTTCAAAGCACATTCCTCGATCGCCAAATGGTTGCATGCCCTCACATGATTCACAGAGAGAGAGGAAAAAATCTGTATTTCAAAAATGCTTTTTTTCCCCTACTTTTTCACACTCGACTCATTAATATTGATTCAGTTTACTGAGAAAAAAGACATCTGAATTTTGAGTAGGAGTATTTCATTCTGAATCCACCTGTCCTAAATGACCTCTTGGTTTGTTCCACAGCACCAACAACAGGTGGTCCAGGCCATGGAGCGCGCCAAACAGGTGACCATGGGGGAGCTAAATGCTTCGATAGGGGTACGTGGGCTCCCCCCTCTGCCTCATAGCGTGTGTACCATATCCTCCCATTTTATTTATTTTTCCTTCTTTTACGAGGCAAACATCCATTTGCCCACTCTAAATGATACAGATTAATTTCATAACGATGGATGACTATTTGGAAATATCAAGAATTGGTTTAAGATTTTATTTTTTTACTCAGGTGGCCTTAGCAGCTACCTGAACAGCAACATCAATGACAGGTCCTATCCAATGTCCCAAATGATGTTCATAATAATCATATGCAAATATTATTGATAAAGAATTAAAACTGCCGTTAAATAATATTTCAGTTTTAGTTATTTTTTCATCTTATTTCCCATCACGCTGATTAGGCTACAGGGCTTGCCCTGATAAAGAGCCACTACCTTGACCTCAGCATTTGTCCCCCCCGTACACATCGCAGCACTTAGTTCCCTCTCTTTTCTTCTTCCACTCTTGATCACTTCCCGTTGAACCACTTCCTCCATTGCCTGTAAGTTACACAAATCTCTCTTTCTTCTGTCCCCTCTCTCTTCGCGTTTCTTCTTCTATTCTTCCTCTCTGCAGCAGCAGCTTCAGGCCCAGCACCTCTCCCAGCATGCCCAGGGTTTCCCACACCCATCGGGACTGTCCCACCCCGGCCTGGCGCTCGGCGGAGGGTCCGGCCTGCTGGCCTTGTCCGGGGCTCTAGGGGCCCAGTTGGCTGCTAAGGATGAGAGAGCTCACCTCGAGGCAGCGGCTGCAGCCGCTGCAGCTGCAGAGCACCACAGAGGTACACTTTAAATTGATGCATGCTCACTTGTTTTGCACATAGTGTAAAACTCTAGATGAGTTTAGGGCTGGGACTAGAGTTGGATTGCGTTCTTAGGAATGAAAGCGTCTCAAAGGTGGGGGTAGAGTAAACACCGAAGCTTGGCTTGATGGATCTTGATGATTGGCTTTGCTTTGGATTGTTGGCAGGGCACAAGAGTGTTGCTGATAATAACACTCCTCCAGGATTTTTTCCCACTGAGTCATCAGCTGTAGAGTGACGTAAAGTGGAAAGTGATAATGTTGCAATTGTGTGTTTGTGTCCCTGTCTGCATTTGCTGTCCACTGGCCTGGTACCTGGATGCGTTTGGCGCTTTTGCTTGGAATGAACAGACCGTGAAGCAGGACCAGTGAGTACAAATGACTACGCAATCACTTACATCAAATACACTCGCACTCGTCCACCCGTTTGTTAAGCAATTTCTGGCAAATTCAGTGTTTTACATGGGTATCCTCATCACAAAAAGTTTGTATTCAAAGGATATAAAAACTATAGAAAAGTCCAAATAAGAAGTTAGAAATATGGATATTATACATATTCTTTTGTTAAGCCTAATGTTATAGGAGCGTAATATTGTATTTAACATTCAGTCAAGAAAAGGAAATGTGTCAACTAGGCAAAATAATAGTTATGCTTTATAATTTCATAGTCATTTTTAGGAACTACATAAAGTGCTATTTATTATATATAAAATAGGAATCATCCATAAAAAGAACTCCATTTAACCCAAGTAGATATTTTTTTCATCATGCATGTATTTATTCCATAAATGTTACAGTGCTCTTGTCTGTTGACACATTTAAATTCTTTTGCATGCTGTATTTTCACTATAGTTAGCACTTTATCACCTTATAGAGTTGTGACAAAACTAGTTTAGGAAACTGTGCACGAGTGCCAAAATGCTCTCAGACGGCTCCACAGCCTTTTCTGCTGCCTTAAAGGAAAAGTTTAAGCATTCCCTTTCTTCCTCTCACTCCTACAGTGAGCCGGCCGATCGATGTGGGCTGATATGCCTTCACATTCATCTCCGCAGCCTATGAGCCCGACATGATTTATGCAGTCCCTCTCACCTCATTATCACCCTCTTCCTCCCTCCCTGCCCTCACTCCTTTTTTTCCCACTCCTTCCTTCCGTCCTTCCTTCTCCTCTTTTTGCCCCCTTGCCCCCCTTTCTCTTTGCCTCACTGTCTTGCTCTCTTTTTTTCTTCCCCTCCTCCCCCTCTGCAGAGCTCTCTGTCCAATGGGGATAAGGGTCGCCCAGCAGACTACCTCAGTAATGGCAAGAAGAGGAAAGCTGATGAGAAGGAGTTCATGACCGACTATGTGAGGCACTTTCATAAAACTGTTAAATGTTTAAATAACTGGAGGAAAGTTTCACCCAACGTTGCCAGTCCTCACCAGATAGCACCAGTGGTGTCTGTACTGTGGACTTAGGAGGCCTGCTCTCTCTTTTTAGACAGTAATTGAAATATTCACACACTCACTACTGTGCTGTCATCACTGTGTGTATATATATATATTTTATTGGTGTTTTTTGTGGGAAAGCAGAAACGTTAAGGTCTGTGTGGGATTATTTTATTGTGCGATAAATGAATCTCGTGTAGTTATTCTATTATCGGTATGAAGTATTAAAAAAACAGAAGTGCCTCAGTGGATTTCACCTTTCAAAGTTACACATCTAGAATTAATTAATTACATTTTGCACTGTCCAACCGACCAACCGTCTAAGGCAATAAAGTGTTCAGATGAGATATTACATTTTCCTCTATCTGCACTTTAACAAATCAAAACTCTTGAGACAAAATATTTCATTTTCAAATGCATTACACACACATACACACCTCCGTTTGGGTATGCCTTTGTGTGCTGTATTTTTCTGCATGTGATCTACATACATCAGACAGCGGAGCAGGAATATCTAATCTCACTTCCTCTCTTCTCTCTCAGGGCAGCGATGCGGATAAGAGTGATGATAATTTGGTGGTGGATGAGGTTAGTAGGCGGCCGGCGGCCTCTATTGGCCTCACTTCACCGCTTTCATCTGCATACATCATGTAAACACACCCAGCAGGACCATCTGAATAATGATAATGACGACAATAACCCCCCCCCCCCCCTCCGTCCTCCTCCACCTCTGCATGCCTGCCCGCCCTTGTTTTACAACATATACAACCATAAAGTACAAATGCATACGCACACTTGACTGCAATTCATGTTCTCTGCTGCTTTCATGTACAATTCTGTAGTTATGGTTTCATCAGTTTTATGAATGAGTGACACTAAGTGAAGGTTGTAAGATGATGGAAAGTAAAGTTTGTTTCTTTGTATAGAATAACGAAAATACCTTTTTTCTTTAAACTGTTATCTTTGACTTCCAAATGAAGTGTTCATGAGATGACAGTAACTGAGACTATACCCACTTCCCGAAAGCTTTTACATTGTTGGGTGGGTCTCGTTCGGAAACTCATCTGGTGCCAGGAAGTGATTCCCTTTTATGTTCATTGAAGAACAATCGTTGGCACAAGCAGCTAATGGATAGGTTCACAGTTTTTCAGGTTGGTTGCCCATATGAACACGGACACAGATTTTTCTCGCTGTTAGCGTTCCTCATGTTGTGCATATGGACCATTAATGTGCTTCCAATGGAAGTGATGGAGGACAAAATCCGCAGTCTTTGTTCTGGGCAAAAGTGTACAGAAAGCTTCTATGAGGCTTCGGCAGACTGAATTAGACAAATCAAGTGGATATCTTCCTACGTTAGTGTTTTTAGTATGAAATCATTTCTTTGTTTTTCCAAATAACTCGATTTGATTTTAGTCAGACTTCTGAAGCCCCATATTAACTTCAGATTTATTTTTGAAGCACATTGGGAAGTGTTTTTGTACTGAACAGGAATGATAAGGGCAAGTTAAAACCATTTCAATATTCATATCGGCCCCTGACTATTGTCTCTGAACCTATCCTATAAAACCAGCAGGTTGACTACAATGAATGAATGAATGAATAACTCACCTCTACTTATTATTTTTGTCTTGTGTAATGAAGTTTCATGTTTTTTTTTTTTGTTTTTTTTTTGTTTTTGTTTTTTTTTAAATTCAGGACCCATCGTCCCCCCGCAGTGTGCAGTCTTACTCATCCAGGGAGAACGGCCTGGACAAGATGCCCCCCTCCCGTAAGGAGGGCCCCCCGCAGGCCAGCCCCGCCTCCCTTGCCTCCTCAAGCAGCGCAGCCTCCCCATCTCGTGGCAAAGAGCCCCCACAGGTAGACCAACGCATCTGTTTATTTCACCACACAGACTTAAAAAGGGAAATATGATTTCTATTGTCTTACTGTCACATGAACACGTGTTCAACTCGCACTCTATTCTGCCCACTTGTCATTTTAAAGCGATTTATTTTCCGTAGTCTTTATTTACTTACACTTTCCTTTTTTTCTTCTCTGCTCTCCCAGAGGGAGAAGTCCAGTACTCCAGGCATGAAGCCAGGGACCCCCATGTCTCAAGAGTCCAACACCCCGGGACCCAGCGGACCTCCACAGTTCAGACCTGTCCCTGGCAAGCCTGGTGTCGATCCCCTCGGTAAGAACACCCCACGAGCTTGCTTTTGTTCCCCGAAAAACATGTCTTCTGTACTTAATCGTTAAAGGGGAGCAGACTTCAGAAAGACCGAAGTTAATGTGAAGTGAAACTGTAAAGCTCGTCGAAATCACTGAAAAGACTCGTGAGACCAAATGTGTCCCTCCCTCCCCTCAGGGACACAAACTTTCACTGCACACGGCATCAATAAAAATATATGAATCCGCCTCTGCAGCGAGGATTCTTTAGCCTGTACTTGCTTTGTTACATGTAGTGATTCTATCAGCATCGGGCAGCACTAGTTGGTATGGGTGTCAGCCTGCTCCCCACCACCCACCACCATCTGGACTTAATAAGCAGCTGTGGGCAAAAATATTCAGCACCCCTCACATTTTATATGGAAAGATTAGGAGAGGTGATGGACTGTGACTGTGAGCTGCTTTGTAATGAGCCTCCATCTATTCCTCTCTCTCTTTTTTTCCCCTCACATCACCTGTTAGCGCGCACACACACACACGTACGCGCACACACACACACACACACGTACAGGCTAGTAGATGCCGTTACATGCACAGATAGAGGATGTAGAGGACGTTTATGCGAGCACACATTTATACAGTCTCGCTGCAAGAAAGCATGACGTCCAGCAGGGGGCAGTAGTGATCTAGTGCTGTTTTAGGCATGTTTTCCTGCATTTTGTATGACAGGCGGCAGCTTGTTCACAGCCTGTCAGTCACAGCTGTCTCAAACAGTGACAGGCCCTGCAGAGGGAGTCACCTTAATAAGAAGTGGAGCAGATTCGCCTTTGAACGACTGACATGTCGGTCCCTCAATCAATAAATTGTTCACTTCGCTAAATCACAATAAAATTGACTGTTGTCTTTTCCTCCAGCACTGGGTCTGAGAAACCCCCTGGCGGTGCAGGGAGCGTATCCTCCAGGGGCTTTCGGCCTGCCTCCAGGGGTGAACGGGGACCTGGTCGGGGCGGCAGCGGCTTATGGTGCCGGACTCCACTTAGTCTCCCCCCAGATGAATGGAGCTGCAGCTGCAGCAGCGGCAGCAGCTGCCGCAGGCTACGGACGCTCTCCTGTGGTGAGCTAGACGCTCTGCAGATAATTAGTCTTTCCAGTGTCACTGTCATATCTAATACCTCAGCATATAAACCCTTCAGAGGGCAAAAGAGGGATATATGTACAGTGGGTACGGAAAGTATTCAGACCCCTTTAAATTTTTCACTCTTTGTTTCATTGCAGCCATTTGCTAAAATCAAAAAAGTTCATTTTATTTCTCATTAATGTACACTCAGCACCCCATCTTGACAGAAAAAA